AGAGTGCATGAATCCTTATTCTTTTCTTCTTATTTCCTGTCACCTTTATTTTTCTCTACATTTAGCACCATCTGGCCATGCCTGCTTATTGTGCCACGTTTCCTGATTGCATGGTAATTTTTTATACTAGGAGAGCTTGTTGAGGATAAAATGCGAGAATGGAACAGATTCAGAAATACCACTTATGAAATTAAATTAATTAAATATGATTACAAATATAAATGACTCATCTAACCATCAAACTGGCTTGTCCAGGAACTCTACATCAGGACATAACTGGGTATGAGCAGATTAAAGAATTTGATGAGTTTCATTATTCTTGAGATGGATGCAATTTCAGGAGTACACAGTCATTTTAGATTTTTATCCTTGGATGGCACTGAATTTCACTAACTGTGATTTCTTACCTTACATCACCCCTAAACAAGCCTTAAACAGTCAGCTCTGGGCATTTTGGGTGTTCTGAAACTAAAGGGTAGCCCAGGTGATCTGGAGTCAGAAAATCAGGGTTCTACCCTCAGCTCTAAAACTGATTAATTGTGTGAAAGTTAAAAAAGAACTGCCCTGCCTACTTGACAGGATTTTTATGAAGATCAAGAGAGATCAAGTCTATGAAAATATTTTATAGTGTTATATATGAAAAGCAGTAAAAATGTTTGTTACTATCATGACAATAAAAAATAATTACACCATTAGAGGGGCTAACAGTTTTGCCCTATTGTTTTCTTTTCTGTTATTATGTACTGACTTAATACACGATAGAGTAGTACCTGGTATTTAATGCTCAATAAATGATAGCTATTAACATTATTATTACCAGGGCACAGTTTTCAAAGGTCTTTATTATGTAAATACAATGGACAAGTAATCTCCTGGGGAAATGGGTAAAGCAGTTATGGAAGTAAGAATGATCTGCCCATCCAACATAATTGCCCATTTCCCACCCCTACTTTTACTAGAAAAGGGAAGAGTAAGAAGAGATGAATCTGGGAGTATTAATCTAAAAGAAGAGTAGCTTCAAAGCACAGGATTGGTACAGAGTGTCCAAAAGAACACTCTTTTGTAGATTCCCCTACAATCCTTTTTACCTGAAGCTGACTCAAAAGCTTAAAATTCTGGATTTCTTTCTTTTCTTTACTACTGATTTTCTGTGTAACCCTAAAATGAGCCACTTAACCACTTGGTCCTCCCAGGTAAAAATCTGATACCTTCCACCTGTCCAAGGTAGATTGATCATATGTTTATCAGAATATATCAAAATACAGCTTATTATAAGTTCCTCAAAAGAAGCAAGATGTTATCAAACCCAGAAAGAACCCAGTATTTTCTTTATTTTTCTTTCTTTCTACCTACCTATCTACCTAATTACTCACACACACACGTTTTGGTTGTAATAATAATAATAATGTGGAACGGGTCCATTTGTTAATAGCTATCAGATAAAATTTCTTAGACGGAAAATGGAAAATTATTGACATTATAACTAGGGTTTAGAATAGATCACAATGAGAATTTAAGAGAGTTTTCTTCACGTTAATCATCATTATCTTCATGTATCACTCCTCTCCCCTTTATTCTGACACACATGGAAATATTTTATTGGTCTCTGAGATACAGTGCAACAATATCAACACTTTTATATCAGGAAAGCTAGTACTCCATTTGCTCTGTTCTTTCTCTCTTGTGAACAGAAAATAATCTATTCAGCTGCATGTTTAAAATTAAGTGATTAGAGTCATATTAGAAAATTATCTCTTCTAAAAGTTAAATGTAGTGTTTGAAGAATGTAATGGTTTTAAGAATCTAGAAGTCCTCTGTTCCATAGGATAGAGGATGATAAGGTATGGGTTAGGATATAAACGTGAGTTATCATTCAATAAAAGATAGTTAGACATATACATACACAATATATATAGATATTTTCATGGCAGACGATGAGAAAATCAAATATTCCAAGAAGAAAATCTATTTCCTTGATTGAGATAGGATATTAAATAGGTCAAGGAGATAGAAATAAATATCTTGGGGCTGGCCCTGTGGCTTGGCGGTTGAGTGCGTGCGCTCCGCTGCTGGCGGCCTGGGTTCGGATCCTGGGAGCGCACCAACGCACCACTTCTCTGGCCATGCTGAGGCCGCATCCCACATGCAGCAACTGGAAGGATGTGTAACTATTACATACAGCTATCTACTGGGGCTTTGGGGGAAAAATAAATAAATGAAATTATTAAAAAAAAAAAAGAAATAAATATCTTAAGAGGGAGAAGAGAGAAAACTAAACATGGTATGCTTATATAATACAATTGTAAGGATGATTTATCTTTCAATATTTTTCCATATGCCCTTTCTATGAACTTTTCTTGGTAAGAAATAGAATTCAAAACCTCATATTTCAGGTGCACACACACTTTGGTGTGAAAGCTGGGTTTTACAAAAACATTTCAACTTTTACATATTATTAGGTTTGGGTTGTGGATAGAACACTGCCTACTTTATTTCCCACTTAAAAGCAAAGAAGCTGGAAAGAAGGAGGAAGAGTAATGAAATATACATAATGAAATATCCATAAAAACAGAACTCTGAATTAACAAAATAACATTTTTAAAGTAAAAAATATATAGTCAATATTTTCTACTAAAAACAACAAAAAATAAACTATTAGGTTCCAATTAAGAGATTTATTTTAAATTAGAACAAAATTTATGATAGTATTTACTGAATCTTAAGAATATTGGGAAAAGATACACACACACGCACACACACACACAACTATAAACTAGAGAGAGTAGAAGAAAACATATTATATGAGAGTCCCAGATTAGTCATTTTCCACCCAGATAATGACAGTAGTGCAGCCTATTACAATGAGATTGATTCAGACTAAGTTTTATGGGCTTAAACTATGAATGTCTGAAATTGTGAATGATGAATAAGCAACAGTTACTTAGCATAGGTATCATATCATTTAAGCATTTAACCCTCTAACCTCCAGACATTAATGTCATATTAATTTCTTCAGGGAGTTGACTAGCTGTTTTGCATCATGTAGACACAATCTAAATTTAACCATCATTTACTTTACTTTATTCTTCCTACTTTCTAGGATTAATACTCAACTGCAGACAAAAGCTGTATGACAACCTTACCTATATCATGACAGTCTGTGATAGGCAAAGCACATTAATGACTATCCATAAATCTTAAGGAATCTCAGGATCCTTATACTCATATTGCCTGATCTCACTGTGAAAAGACAGTGATTTGGAGAGATGAATGCTTTATTAAAATTTAAAAACCTTAATCAGCACATTTTACACTAGATACCACAAATGGACTACGACAGTCACTTCAGCTAGGAACACACTGGGCTCAGCCACTATCCATCAATTAGAGTTGGCTCTGTTCATGATCCCTGTTTCACAGGAACACAAAAAAGTACAACAAAAATTCATTTTATACGCTTTTAAATTTGTCACATTTAAATGTCTTTTTTTTAAAGGGTAGAACAAGTAAAAAAGATTTTCAGAAACAGGACATATTTTAAATTAGGTTGATAAACTAGATATTCACATAACGCTATTCCCGCACTGCATTATTTGAAAGCTTGGTACTAGCCTTGTTACAATTCCATACCATCACCACACTGAGGACAGTGGGCATGTCTCAGAACAGTCATGGCATGCCACATCCAGAAAACAAACACGCTGGGCACTATGCCAATGGATGGCCTTAACAGAACTGATAAAGGTGAGGAAAAATGAAAATAAATGGTAGAGGGAAGGAAGAAAGGACCAAATATTTAAAATGTAGCCCAGGAAGTTGTATTCTATCAAGGATTATGATTAAAGTCAAATTCAAAAAGGGTGTGGATGTATTTAAAGTAGAGTTTCTTAACAAATCTTGATTTAATCTAATGGGTCATGGGGCCCTCATCATTATTTTTAAATTATTTGAACCAACTGACTCTTCTCACATTACCACTAAATAATTCATCATATCACAAATAATTTTAAAGGAAAATATCAAGAATCCAAAATACAAATGGTTTACCAGGTAAAATTTAATATTATATAATTTGTATTTTTCTAATGAAAAATTTTAACCAATAGGTAGGGGGGAAAATCTTCTAAGACTTAGTAGCTTTTCACCCAACAACCAGTTTCTCAGCAAAACTCAAGACTTTTCTCTAATCCACATTCTATTACCTAGGATCATAAAAGTCTATGCTGTGGAGAACTTAAATAGTCCTGTACAGCCCTATCACAATTGAAATTCTATATTAAACTGTGAGTTTACTTAATGTGTGCTTCCTCCACCAGCCTGTATACTCTGTGATGTCAAGGATCATGTCTACCTTATTCACTGCTATGTATGTAATACAAAATAGGCCGTCAAAAATGGGTTTAATATTGAATGAATGAAACATGGTAGAACCCTACTATTCACCTGGCTCCATCCCCAACACACATACAGCTTTGAGGATTACTCTGAAAACTAGAAAACAGGGAACTTTTGTGTCTTCCCCACTTCTCTGCTCCCACTCCATCTCCAGTCCACTGTACTCTGGTTGCATAAACATACTTCTATTAATGTTCTTGTCATAATGCATTGTAACTGACTGTCCCACAAGGAAATGAACTAGTTATTTGTGTACCCATTAATCTCTGACAATGCCAGGTGATCCTCTTTTGTTTTACTTTCTAACCAGCATCAAGGAATGGCATCAATGAAATGACAACATTCATTAGCTCAAAATATAAGTACCGGATGGCATAAAAGAGAAATTGTATGAAATCAAATAAAGCCAATAATTACAACAAACAAAACACATCACCTCCTTCTAGTTATAAACTGATAGGATTAAAAAAATTGTAAAGTTGAGTCTCTTCCAAAAGGAGAATCCTACACATTTAATGACAAATCACCGAGAGTCCTATTCTTTTTTCCATGTAAAATAATTCCTTCACAATCTTTTCAGTAAAAAGCCAGAAAGAAATACATACATGATGGTGTTAATGCCTGAGAGCTGTTGGAACATTTGTAGGCCACAACCCACAATTAAAGCTCGGCGAGTTGGGGGGTAAGTCAGCATTCTGCAGATCACAGGTCCGGCTTTTTTAAAAAAGAAAGAAAAAGAAGGACACATCTATTATTTTTAGCTCCCATAGTAATTATTCCCATTAGGATAAATTTCCCCAAATTCCGTGAAATCGACATGACTGGGCATTTTAAAATAAAACATATAGACTTTTACAGAAATCTGGGCACCATGTATTTTTTAAAACAGACAGTATATATTTGAGTTTAAACTGTAAAAGTAACAAGAGAGAATTCAAGGTAAAGCAATTTATGGATTCTTACTAGGAAGTCCTACATAACTGTAACTGTCAGAAATTATTCTTCCTTAAATCCCTATGAGCTGTATGAACCACTCTTTGTTCTTCCACTGCCTTGTCAATTAATTATTACTTAAAATGCATTCAATGTGGGACTACTTACAAAGTCACTGGTAAAACTGCTTTAATCAACCAAAAGAATGGCATTCATTAAAAACAAACAAGGAACAGAATTTATTCCAATTTATTTGACTAAAGTAACAAAATTTATTCCAATCTATTCAACTAAAGTTAAGGATTTGGGCATGACATCAGAGCTGGTTACAGCTAAAATGGATATTAATAAAAGTTACCAAAAAGGTAATATAAGAAAAAATTTTTAATGTCTACTTTATATAGGTATATATATGTTATTTCTAGATTTTGAATAGTTTCCTAAGTGGCATTCAATGATCATTTCAAAATATATAAACGGGCTTTCAAAATGATGCACATCCCTTCATCTCTATATCAGAACTCTAGACTAATTCTGGAAAGCTGTAGATCTGAACCTCTGAGGCCTTAAGTAAGGTGATTAACCTTATTGATGGCTGTTGTCTGGACATAATTACTAAAAAGTAAGGGGTGCATCACTTAACACCTTCACTTTAGCCTTAAGAGGCAGTCTATAGCGTGTCCTTATGGGGCCAGAGTTGACTCCTGGGACCTATTGTATTCCTGCTGTTAGAAGAGATGACCTGGGATCACTGGGATATTAACTGCTTAATTAGAGGCACTTTTCCTGGAGCCCAAGTTTCATTAGTGAACCATAAACCAAGTCAAGTAAATTAAAATCCAAGGAAGTTTCACCATTTCAGAAATCTTTTGGAAAGTTAATACTCCAGTTCACAGAAATGGAACAGAATATGCTGTCATCTCAGCAATAAAAGTTAATATGGGATGTCAAGCCAGCGCATGAATTAGAACTGAACATTACAGGGGTGAAAATATTCATCTCTACGTGGGTGATTATAATTGCATGAAGACATGATTTACTGCAAACAATTTTCTCTCTCAATAGTAAGATAGGACACAGATAAAGAAACATTGACGGTCATTCAGAGCTCAACGCAGTGACAACTCATTCAGAAAGCAGGCTGAGAGTAATATAAGTGTCAAATTGCTTTAGACTCAAGTAAAGCAGTATTAAAACCTAGTCTATCAGAAAGGTTGTGTGGAATAGGTAGATTTTGAGAACTTTACCGTGCCAATATTGAAATATATCTGGATCAGTTGTCTGAAGATGCCAGGCTCATGTACAAATTTAGTTATCTACAAGTGAACCACAAAATAAGGAACGTACACAGCATCATATAAACATCTACCTATTTCCAGAAATCAAAAAATTCAAATAAGAAAGATTATCATTCACCTTGTGTACCATGAAAAATTTAAAAAACAACAACAACAAAACAAAACTCCTTTTTCAGCTTTTAGTAACCTCCACAGATGAGAAACTGGCCTTCTGCAAGAAATCTATTATAATCTTTAGACAGCTGCAACTACTTTCACGATTAAACTGTACCATGATTTGATTGGCAGATTAGGTAACATAGATTTTGGAGGACAGAAAAATAAAAAGAAAATGATGACAAATTAGGATTAAAGTTTGACTTGCCAAAAAATATCAAGAGAGAAACTACTGCATAAACACCACATATTTATTTCCTAGTTTTTAAAAATCTGGGCTTTGGACTTTCTCTTGGTTTGGATTTCCTGTCAAAAATAAGCAATGGTAGTGCCTTTACTAGACTGGACTTTTTTTTTACAGATAAATTTTGGTCACAGCAGCTGCACATCTGATTATGCCTAAACAAAATTAAAGAATTTCCTTTCATTAAAATTACCAACCTAGCTTTATTAGGCAGTAAAACTGACTTAACAAACGCAAACCATCATTAATCTTTATATCACCGAAGCCATGAGGCAGAAGAAAAGAATCAAATATATTACTTGGTTGAATGTTCATAAGTGAAAATTTAAAAATGCCATGCTCTATCTATTACATTTCTTTTGATTTTTGTAATTAAAAACATTTTGTGTATACAAACATTTTACATTTAACTTTAAAAAAAAAATTTGTGTCTTTGAAACAGAGAAATTCCCACACAATAAAAAGTAAAACCTCTAAACAACTAAAGCAGATTGGAAATACAGGATTTAAAATGTAACACATAATTATACAGTAGATGCAAGAACCGCAAATGGGTTCATGTTTTCCTTCAGTCGAACACTTCATACTGTGTAACTTTCACAATGGTTGTCTGAGTGTGGCAGGGGCTCTGATGGCAGAGAGGAAAAGGACGGCCCCACAAGTGCAGCCATTCCTGTGAACAGGCTGTCTTGGGCTGGGCCTATAGAAGTTTCTCCAGGTCTGATTAAAAACGCAGGGGCCAGTCCCGTGGCGCACGGTTGAGTGCGCGTGCTCTGCTGCGGCGGCCCAGGGTTTGCAGGTTCGGATCCCGGGCGCACACTGACGCACCGCTTGTCAAGCCATGCTGTGGTGGCGTCCCATATAAAGTAGAGAAAGATGGGCACAGATGTTAGCCCAGGGCCAGTCTTCCTCAGCAAAAGGAGAAGGATTGGCATCGGATGTTAGCTCATGGCCGGTCTTCCTCAGCAAAAAGAGGAGGATTGGCATTGGATGTTAGCTCAGGGCTAGTCTTCCTCACCAAAAAAAAAAAAAAAAATTCACTAGAACAGACTTTGTACAAAATCCCGGCTCTTGATTTCCACTTCCAGCCAAAATGGACTAACAGTTATATCAGATTTACCTCCTACACGAAACAACTAAAAAGCCATGCAAAAATGTGTGAAACAATAGTTATCATGATAATGCATAACACGCAATGAAGGGTAGTGACCCCTGAGGTTCAGGAAACAAATGAGGTAAACCCTACAACTATCCCAGCTTAATGCCTCGAAAAAGTTTCCAAGTTGCAGCACAGGGAAGGGAAACCAGGCAGACCGTCATGGTCTCCTTGAATTGAAAAGATGCAGCTCAGAATCCAGCGATGCCAAAATGACTAGAGGTCACAGGGCAGAACGCCAGAGAGGAGAAAGGACAATGCAGATCTGCAGTCCCCTTTGAGTATTCAATGCAGTACTGATCAGTGGATATGTGTGTGGCAGGGGAAAGAGCTCAGGGAAGGATTAAAGAAGTCAATTTCAGGAACTTACCAGAATGAAAAACCTAGATCACAAGGAGGAGTATTCAGGTTTTTACCTAGGTAATGTTATAAATTTAGTCCTAGACTAAACACTGCTTGGGTACCATCTAAAACATATTACAAGCAAGACCCAACTGCTCCCAAGCAACTGAAGAGCATCCCAGAACAAAGTTCAACAGTAAGATAAAATTCATAATGTCTGGCATACAATAAAAAATTACCAGGCATGCAAAAAAACAGGAAAATACAACCTGTGACAATAAAAAGATTAATTCATCAACAGGACATAACAATCCTAAATGTCTATGCACCTAATAAGAGCTTCAAAATATATGAAACCAAACCCAATACAACTACAAGGGGAAACAGAAAAACCCACAATTATACTCAGATATTTCATCACCCCTTTCTCAATAACTGATAGAATAAGGAGGCTGAAAATCAGCAAAGATATAGAAGAATTCAACAACACTATCAACAAACTTGACCTGACATTTAAACAACACTCTACTGATCAAGAGCAGAATACACATTCTTTCCAAGAGTAAATGTCTCAGAACATTTACCAAGATAGATTATATTTGATATTCTGAGCTCTAAAACCAGTCTCAATTAATTTAAAAGGATTCATGTAATACAAAGAATGTTCTCTGACCATAATGAAATTAATATAGAAATCAGTAACTGAAAGATCACGGGAAAATTCCCCCAAATTGGAAACTAAATAACACATTTCCATGGATCAAAGAAACAATGGGAAATTAGAAAGTATTCTGAAGCGAAAGAAAATGAAAATGCAGCATATGAAAATTTATGGAATGGAGCTAAAGTAGAACAGAGGAAAATTTATAGCAATGACTTTGGCTTCCACCCTACAAAACCAGAAAAAGAGGGACAAATGAAACCCAAAATAAGCACAAGATAAAAAGAATAATAAAGATCAGAATGGAAATCCATGAAATAGATAAGGAGACAGTTGAAGAAAAAAAAAATCAACAAAACCAAAAGCTGGTTCTTTGAAAATATCAACAAAATTGATAAACTTCAAGCCAGACTGGGGTAGGCTGAATAACAGCCCCTCAAAAGATATGCACGTCCTAATCTCTGGAATTTGTTAATATTACCTTAGCTATCAGAAAAGGACTTTGCAGATGTGATTAAGTTAAGGATTTTGAGATGGAAAGATTATCCTGGATTATTTGGTTTGGCCTTAAATGCAATCACACGTATCCCAGTAAGAGGGAGGCAAAGGGAGATTCAGGACAGAATGGACGAAGGCGATGTGATCATAAATGCAAAAACTGAAATGATGCAGCCATAAGCCAAGGAATGCCGGCTGCCACTAGAAGCTGGAAAAAGAAAGGAACGGACTGTCCCTTGGAGCCTCTGGAGGGAGCATGGCTGTGTTGACACCTTGATTTCAACCCAGTGAAACTGATTTCAAACTTGTGGCCAGCTGACTGTGAGAATAAATTTCTATTGCTTTAAGCTACCAAGTTTGCGGTAATTTGTTACAGCATCCATAGGAAATTAATACACTGATTGATCAGGAAAAAAGAGAGAAGAC